GTGTCTTCAGTAGAGTGACCAAAAGCTGGACGGTGCTGTCTGTATTTTACCAATGAAGAAACTGAGGCTGGCAAGGGTCATTCATTTCAGAACTAGAAGTGAGGCCCAGGTTTTCTGGGGTTACACATGTCTGTTTTGTGTAGTGATGAGAAGAATAAGACTATTGTTTATGGATACTCAATAACTGCTCACTGTGCTAAGGCCTTCACACACAGCACCTCATTTATTCCTCATAATCAGCCTGGAGAGCTCCTTACACTGGTTCTTTGTTCTGAAGTTAACAGATAAAACTGCATTTTCCCATGAAGTAGGAGCCCTTAACTTCATTTTAGCAAGGGAAAATTTGTGACCAAGAAATTCAGAGGGCAAATACTGGTTGCTCTGTCAGGGACAGCCATCCTGGATGCCAACACAACTTTCTGCAACCCCAGAGCCTGGGTACCAACTATGTATGTTCAGGGACCTCTGAAATGCAAAGACCAGTTTACTTTCTAGACAGCTGGGAGCTGCCAGGACAAACGGGGTGACATTTATGAGCTCCTCAAGGTCAGGAATCCTTGCTATCATCCCTCATCTCTCCCTCTGCGTCAGGTACTAGACCCCCACAGGTGACCCATATGCTCCCATGGAAGGATCTGCAAGTCAATTTCCAGAGAGCTTAAGAAGCCAGGCTCAGGGGAGGCAGATGCCAGGTGAGCGCTTGGTAGCCAAGGCCAGCACTGGGGCCAGCAGGATTGTTCAATAGTGATGAAGAGAGAGAAGTAGTAGATGCCAGAACACAGAGGGACCACACTGTCTGGTCACACAGGCTTGTGCTGGCTATTGATTTTCAAGAACAAAACAAACTCAAAGTGAGAAGGCTGGCACTTCCCACAGGAGGGGTCAGTCCTATCAGGGTGCTGCCTGCTTTAAGATCACAGCTCAGGTCTGAGGGGCACAGCCCTTTGGCAGGCATTGTCTGGGCCATTCTGACTCTGACAAGCTCTCAGGATCACACACGGTTGTGGCTGGCAGCCCAGACAGATACGACTGTTTTGGCTTCTGTTGTTTGTATTTTTCCTCTATCACCAGGCATACACTCAAGGTCCAGGATCTCAGCTCATCTGATTGGAGGTGGTGGCCAACCCAAGTGCCCACAGGCGCCCCCTGGTGGAAGAGCAAAGGATATAAACACCATCTGGGGCAGGAAGGAAAAGATACAGCCAGGAAGGAAGCAGGGGAACTGTGTGGATCTTCCCAGTGACATTGAAGAGCTGTGCTGTGACTCTCCCTGCTGTCCCCATAGGTGAATGATTTACTGTGACTGAAGGGACAGCAAACACAACAGCTCCGACTCTCAAGTGGACTTTGATGAGGGAGGCAAAGAGTCGTCTCTTCACCTTGGCTTCCTTTGGAGGCCCCACAACTGTCATTGAGTTTCGAAGGTCCCTCATTTAGAGGTTTCCTGGAATTGGAGCTTGGGTTGGGGAGAGGTGGTAACTTGAGCATAAGGTACTTTTTTAGTCAACATAAAGAGGGGCAAAGGTCATTGCAAACCTCGGCATCATCACCACCTGGGGAAGGCAGGAAGGCATCTATACAACAAGAAGATCTTTTGGGAATTGCATTCTCGGAGTGTGTGCTTGAGGAGGAACACTGTGGAAGATGAAACACGTCCCTCCTCTTCTTAGCATCCTCCTCCACCCATCTCCATTGAGACCCTGAACATCTCCCACCCCACAATCAGTGGGAAATAGAATTTCGTGAAGATTTCTTACATAATCCTGAACACTTGAGATCAGGCTGTGATGTCATCTTGTGATATTTCATTCCCTGTCTCCCTCATCAAAATAGATGCTGAAGACAGGAAATATGTGACTGGGTCAAACGCTCCGCAAAAAATTTCCACGGAGTTCACTGCATGAAGTTATGGAGGTGAGGCCTAACTTGTGATGGGGACCCATGGGAAACGTCAAGCACGAAGTGAACGAGAATCTTTAGTCTGTGACACATTGGAAGTCTGTTCTTACTTCTCACATTTCACATGGACTCACATACTGATTCTTAGAAGCCACTTTAGAAGAAGAATCTGCAGTGTGTCCCCATGTCCCATCAAATGCAGAACAGACTCCCAAGCTTCCCATGTCAGAGCTGCAGGACAGATGGCTACCACCTACAGGGTTCCAGAGTCACTGGGTTAGAAGCAGGGCCTGAGAATCTGCTTTTCTAACACACTCTCAAACACTGCTGATTTGAGCCACAGTTGGATGATCATTGTGTATATGTAAGCCTAAGTGTCCAGGAGGGCTTAGGTAGGTAACAAACAAGCAACCAAAAACTCCTTTCTGTTTCCACTCAAAAGCTAAGGCCCGTTCCCCAGAACAGTCACCAGACCTAGAGGAGTGCCCTGAGCCATAGTGAGAGGCTTTGGAAGTACTTCAGAGTACATTTGAGAAGAGGGAAGCCTCTGTGATGAGCTCATGACACAAATGCCACAACTGACACACAGCTGGTCTCTCACACAAGCCTGTAGACATGACAAAGGGGACTGCTTATAGGAAATGGAATCTAAAATCTTCTGTTATGGTGAAATAAGTCATGAGTCTCTAGCTCAAGGGCTTTTGTAGAGAGGATAAATACCCCGATGGCAGCACACTCTACTGACAAGAGCACCTGATGCAATGCTGGCTTGAGGAGAGCAGAGCTTTGGGGCAGAGTGACATCTATGCTTGGATCTATTCACTTTGAAGACCTCATATATAAAAAGAGAAATGCCCTCTAGGAATCAGGTCTTTCTTAGAAGTGTCATTGAAAAAGAATGCAGGACAATATTGTTTGTATCATGGAATTATGTCACTTTTTATTGCAGAATGTAGGAAAGTATTTTTAATTAAGCTATAGTATTGATATTCTCCCTTTATATTCTGTTTTTTATATACATGAGTATTAATAATATTTATGGTATTAGTGCAGTAATGTGTTGATTTTAAAATAATCTCTAAGCCAGATTTGGTAGTTCACATCCATGGTTCAGTTCTTGGAAGGCTGACGGACAAAGGATGGCAATGGCTTTGAGGCCATCCTGGGCTGCACAGGGAATTCGAGGCCAGGATCGGATTTACAGACTGAGATTCTAGCTCAAATCATAGTTAATTATTAATATTCTGTATACTATATGGATACCAGCTTATTCAGCATAGCTTTTCCTAATGAGTAGCCACATGAATCAGAAAGGAACAAATCAAGACTCTTTTTGCTTTTGTTTTTCTCTAATATCAGTAAGTCCCCTGAGATCTTATATTTAGAGATCAATCTCCCCATAGCAGGTCCACTCAGAAGACCTGAGAAAAACTGAGTTTCTCATGGGTGTTGAGGAGCAGGCTTGGCACTCAGTAAGAATTAACTCAGAAAGTCCTGACTCCTTAGACAGCAGGCTGGAGGGCTAGACTGCTGACCTGGCACTCCCTCTCTCCCTCCCTCTCCCTTTATTCAATCTATGAAAACACCCATTGCTGTAGATATAAAATCTTTCTTTCAAATCTGCGATTCCAAAGTGGTCTAAGGACTGGAATCAGGAGGTGTGAGAAGTCACAGGAGAAGAAATGTCTGTTGTCACTAATCTCTAACTTAAGCTCATCTTTTCCACCAGGAGGATGGACATCAAGCCACAGCAGCAGTAGTAGGTGTGTCTTATCATCAGGGACCACAGACAGCTTCATCACAGACACTTTAAAATACACTAGTACTTATGTGTACACTACTCTGAAGTTATGCTATAAACATGACCCCAGATCATTTACTCCTTAGGACATTCTTTTGACATCTCGGGTATTTTATTTGGTGCATTTCTCCAGAATGCCAAAGGTGCTGTGGCCATCCTGACTTGAGCATCTCTGTTGCTGTGGATCATGAATAGACTGTCTGTCTTAGGTTTTTATTGCCATGAAGGGACAACATGACCATGGCAACTCTTAGAAAACATTTAATTGGGGCTGCCTTTCAGTTTCAGAAGCTTAATCCATTGTCATCATGGCAGGAAGCATGGTAGCATGCAGGTAGACACAGTGGTTGGGTGGGAGCTAAGAGTTCTACATTAGGATCCCCAGGTAGTAGGAAGAGATAGTAACACTGGGCTTGGCTTGTGAATCTGAAACCTCAAAGCCTCAAAGTGGCAGTGGAGGCCACTTCTTCCAACAAGGTTACCCCTATTCCAATAGGGCCACATTTCCTAGTAGTGCCACTCTCTATGAATCTATATGGGCCATCTTCATTCAAACCACCATAGAGTATTACAAGTTGGCAGAGGTATAAGTTTTTGCTGGATCCCGATCCTGAGCTCCACTCTGACCATTCACTGGACTAGATGGAGGCTGATGGCTTGAGCTTAGATGACAAGTTCCCTCCACTAACAACAGTCTTGTTCCACATACTTGACAGCATGGAATCCCAATGCCATACAAAGCTATGTTCTTTGAGGGTTTTTTTTTTTTGAAAGATTGAATAGAAGCTTGTTGAGGCTGCTTCTATCTCTTGATACTTTAGTGACAGGAATGTCAGAGTGTCTAGCCTGAGTCATATAAACCCTGCTGCTGGGTGATGTGTATCTAGGTGGAAGGATGTTTAAGTGTAGAGTACACAAGACAGAGATGGTACTCGAGTTCAACAAAGACCAAACAACTCTTTAAATCCCCCATGAGATAAAAGAAACAACCATTTACCCAAGTCATGTCATGGAAATAATAAAGTGTTCCTAAAGGCCCTCCTTTTATTTTGAGTAGGGAAACTCTTCTGTGATTCTTCGGGGAGAGACAAGGGTGTGGTGTGGATGGACATAGCAGGGTGGGGAGCAGTTCCCAGAGAACTCAGAGGCAAACACCAGGATGCTGCTGCCTCCACATCCCTGTGATTTGCTTCCAGTGCCCAGAAACTCTTCCAGGGTTTGGTTAATCCCCTAGAACCAGTTTAGACTTCTCAGTTCTCAAAATACAGTCATGTTACTTCCCCAAATACTTTCACTGTGGAAGAAATAGGTTCAGCAAACTAATGTCACAAGATTTAATGTACACATTAGGTTCGTTTGTGTATTCTGGGAAATTCTGTTTTCCCCCACATCACAAAATCCTGGAGTTTCCCTCGGTACCTGGACTGCTATTATATAATAGAGAGCAGAGGGTTTGTTCTAGTTAAATTCTCAGTCTAGAGGACAAACCTGGAGTGCCAAGAGAATTTACCAAGAGACACAGTTTCATATCAACTTAAGGTTCTTTTATGGGAACTGATTCTCCTGGACTCATAAGATTCAAAATGCTTTCCAACTCTGGCGCTCTGTACCATTCCTCTGGGACATCTAAGGCTGGCAGCCCTGTTCTCACAGTTTTAAAACAAGGTCTTGATGCCACGCTCACATCTTTCTGATCCTAGAGACAGTAAGCTGTGCGGGCATTTGGGCTTTAAATCAAATCATCTTGGACTCTCTGAACATCCTACTTCACGTTTTGGAACGTCAGTTCCTCTACTGAAAACTTAAGCTGAAAGACCCTCGGATTGAGGAGTCTCCACAAATTGGACAGTCCCCCCAAAAAACTAAATGTCCAGTCAAGCTGATGTAAAAACAAGAGGTAAGTTTATTGTGGGACCTTTGCACAAAGGGGCCTCCCAGTCGGACAGACAAAGGAAGCCCTGTGCCTCAAAAGCAGGCCTCTTTTATAGAAGGAAACCACAAGCTTTTAGGGAGGGGAGGGGGTTTGGGTAAGTGACATCATTGGGGTTGGATGGCCTCCGGACTCAGTGGGATAGTCTGTTCTTATCTTCATGATTCCAGGGCAGGATGGCCCTCTGGAAATTCTTGGTATTTAGTTAGGTTATCTTGTGGCCTTGTAAGGGAGTTATTGCTGCCTTACAGTATTCCAGGGACTTGGGTCATTGTGACCTTGTTTAGATTTCTAAGTCAGGCCGCCCTGCTTTTAGTGTGGAAGGTTTTTCTAAGTCTCCTTATTTTATTTCTTTGTTAATTTTTAAGTCCTTCAAAGCAATTTGTAGACAGCGTGTACAAAGCTTGGCTTCCAAAAAAAAAAAAAAAAAAAACTTCATTTTCTTCATTAGAGGATCCTAGCTAAACCTAGGAGTCTCACGGCCGGGAGGGGGCAGCAGACTCCAGCCCTGCACTCTCGGGACTCACGGAGCCCGAGGGACAACCAAGTTCCCAAGATCTCGGTTCTGGCAGCCTCAGAGCTGCACCCGGCTTCCAGGCCTTGGAAAGAGAAGGACGTGGAATCAGGGACGCTGCAGCACACGAATCAGCTCCGTAGAGGATTTGGTTCTGCAAGATAGAGCTGTAGGCAGCACCGGAGTGCTCCTGTGCGGAAACTGCTTCCGGAATGAGGTACTGCGCTTGCGCGTCCCCGCCTCTTCCCTTCTCCAGCTGCAGCAAGGTCTCAGGGCTGCAGGTGAGCTGTACATTCATCTCATCAAGGAAACTTTCTAGGCATGGAAATAAACGGGTCTTTGCTGAGCATGCGCTGTCTCCTTCAATCTCTCAGTCTCCACAGCAAGAAAAAAATTCAGAGGACCCGGGGAAGGAGGGATGGAGGCTGCCCTACCAGAGATCTTTCCTGTCCCCATGCTGGCAATTTCCTGAATTTCTGCCTTCTGGGGCCCTAAATATCGCACATATTTTACCTTCTACCTCCCCGGGGGTGGGGTGTGGTGGTCAATAAGTTTAACCAGATAAAGTTCAATGGCTCTCATGCCCGCGTAGTTCAGAGGTAGGCAGTTTTATTTTTAAGTGAAAACTCTTTGTGTATTTTTATCTATAGATCTCTTAGTGGGTGGGCAGACCTTAGAGGACTCGGGACTGGGCAAGGTAGGAATTTGTCCTTCGGTTTTGTATGCTGAGCAGTAACTGATTTTGCTGCATTGTGTCCAGAATGGTATCTGGGCTTGTATCAGTACATAGCCTCCTACCTGTTGCAGGACCATGAACGCGAACACGCCTCTGTCTTCCAGCCACACCCCATTCCTTTACGTCGCCCCTCCCTCCAGCGCCTTTTATCAGCCAGTGGTGTTTTATTTTTTAACTTTCTTTTTATTTATTCTATGTATCTTTTACATCGAGTATCTTTTCTTTGCATCATGTATCCTGATCCCATTCAGTTCCCATTCCCTTTGCATCCTCCCTCCGTCCCTGCCTCCCTCCCCCAAATAAAACAAATTTAAGAGAAAAGGGGTGAGGAAGAAAGAGAAAAACAAACAAAATAAGTGAACAGGGAAAAATTAAAAATCTCGTCGTGGAAGCTGCAATGTAACACAGTAAGTAAGGCAATAAACCGCTTTGTCCATCTATCTTTACTTGCAAGTGATGACTGCAAAGAGTGATTGATCTAATTCAAGGCCCTCACTGGGAGTCCTCGTGGATATCCTGCTGCTGCCCTGTGTTGTGAAGATCCTGCAGCTTTGGGTCTACAGGACCCGCCTCTTCATGTACTCCAGCAGATGGGTGTTGGAGTGGGCCATGTCATAAGTCTGGTTCTGGGCCTGGGTATCTGCAGACTTGATCCACCCTCCAGTTCTCTCCTGTCTTCACCACCAGGATGAGATCTCCAGGTGAACAGCCCTGGCAAGTTCACCTCTTACAGTAATGAGCAAGGGGTGGGGCCGGTTCTTCTTTCACACTGTCAGGGTTGGTTCTCCCACACCTCCATTATCAGGGCCAGCTCTCTTGTGTTGCCCCAGTGAGGTACAGGGGCCACTCTCCCAAGTGCAGCAGCTGGTGAGTATAACAACTTTCCAACCGCCGTCTGAATTCCGCTGCCAGGTTAGGGCCCCCAAATAACACACAGAGTCTTACATTAGTTACAATGTGGCTGGCCAATGACTAGGATTTCTTATCTGCTATCTCAGTCTTAATTATCAACCATAACTACCAATGTATATATTTTTATAAGGACTTATCTTACCGAGGACACGGGCCTCATTTGTCTTCTCTTCCCCGGGGATCACATGGAGACTCCTTCTTTACTACATTTCCCAGAATCCTCCTCAATTCCTAGCCCCACCTATCTTGCTTTCCTATTAACCAACAGTGCTTTCTTTATCAACCAATAAGACAAACATACACACAGAGGGACTTCCCTCCCCCATCAGGTGAGGGTCAGGGCCAGCTCCTCCACCTATCTCAGGCATTGATGGGCTAAGTGGGGGCAACTCTCCTCTGTCCATGCTGCCACAGGACAAAAGGGTGAAGGGGACAGTTCTCCTTTGCTTACTACCTCGGAGCTGGCTCACCCATGCCTGTGCCAACAATGTTGCTCTATTCTGTTGCCCTGGTAACGTGTAGGGCCTGCCGCTGGTGGAGCACAGGGACAGCTCTCCCACCCGTCTCAAGCGTTGACGGGCAGGAAGTGGAGAGTGTATTTCTGCCACCCATGTGGCCATGTGGCAGGTGAGGGGTGGGGCCAGGTCTCCCATGCTTACATTCTCAGGGTTGGCTCCCTTGCCATGTGGAGGCAGTAAGGGCAAGGGGTGAGGACATCTTTACCTCCTCCCTACCACCACACTGTAGACGAGGGAGGCAGTACCAGCTGTGCCCCTCACACTCTCAGGGCTGGCTCTCCCGCACCTGTTAACAGGGACAGCTCTACTTTGCTGCCTGGGTGAGGTGCATGGCCTGTTCTCCTGAGTGCTGCAGCGGGTGAAGGGTTGGGTTAGGTCGCCACCAGCCGCTTGTGGTGAGGGTTGAGGAGAGGAGGGCCTCTTTTCCTCACCTATGTCACCACATGAGATATCAGAGGGGTGCTATCTGCTCTCCCGTTCCCACATCCTCAGGGCCGGCTCGCCCAGGCCCCTGCACACAGGGTCAGCACTACTGTGCTGCCCAGGTAAGGTGTAGGACTATCTTCTCCTGAGTGCTTCAGCCAGTGGTGGGCAAGACCAATTCTCCCAAGTGTTGCAGACAGTGGGGGGGGGTGGTCAACTCTGTACAGCCCTGTCCTCTCAACATTGTTGGTATCAAGGGCCAGGGACATCCACAGAGACCACCACTGTGTCAAGTCATGAACCCAGACATCACCTTGGCCCTGGGTGGCAATTAAGTCACTCACCTCAGCCGGCTCCCTTCCTCTCTTGCCTCTTCAGATATATGCCTCTGTCCATTGGACATGAACCATTTCGTCTCCCTGCCCCCCTCCACACCCCTTCCTTACTATACCTCTTGTTTAGTTGAAAGCTCCACTCCAGGCTCACTCTCCCTCATTCCAAACCCCGACCCTTAGAAAGCCAGCCAAGGGTCAGCTCCTCCCTCGGAGCTGCCCAAGACTGCTCCTACAGGGTATTAAAGACCCAATCGCTAGACCTGCCATGTGATTTCTCTCCCACCTTTCCGACAGTCACCCAATAGTTGCACTGCTCTGTTTATTAAACCTGGATTTGTTAATACGACCGGATTTGGCTTATTGCATGGCGGAGGAGCCTACTACCAGGGCTTTTTCAAAATTTGTGGTAAATACATACCACCAATGCTCATTCTAGCAGTGCCCATCTGGCTGGCACTGCAAGGTGCCAGGTGGGTCCGTGTTTTCTCTTTGGAGCCCAGGGCAGAAAGCCCCAGGCCTATGTGTGGGTCCCACTTAGTTCACCATGACATTGGGCTGGGCGATGCTTCCTCTTCACAAAGAGATCATATAGTGCCAACTGCCCAGCACCATACGGCAGGCTCGTGTGATGGGGAAAGTACTTCTATGTATGTTTATCTTATTGGTTGTTGAATAAAGTTCTGTTTGGCCAATGAGACAGCAAGTTAGATAGGACTAGGCATCAAAGGGGGTTCTGGGAAATGTAGTAGAGAAGTGGTGATCCAGGCAGGAAGTGACATAGCAAGGAGACTCATATTTAAGCAAGGAGAAACAGGAAGTGTCCCTTTTCCCCTTCGAATCCTCCAGCGATGCCATGTGAGCCACCAGCAAGAGAGGGCGCCAGCGGAAGGCATCCTCTATAAGATAAGTCTTATAAATTATGTAGATTTATGATAATTAAGACTGACCTAACAGATGAGAATCCTAGTAATTGGCCAAGCAGCATTTGTACCTAATAGAAGTCTGTGTATTATTTTGTCCATCCACACGGCGGGCAGAACTCGGGTGGTTGGCAGAAACTCCCCACATGGTGGTAGAACTCGGGCAGCTTTTGGCAGGGAGATTTATCGTAACATTCTCGGATGGTGCTTTTGGCTGAGTTCCACCCACCTGGGTGGATGCACCGAATGGCTCCTTTCACATCCCTACCCTCTCCCCTTAATGCTTGGTTGTGGCCTCTGCCTGCCATGGAGAAGAAGCAGGAAATATAATTGACTTTGGGAATTTTCTCAGGTTGCAAGGTTTGGGAATGGGGTTACTTCAGTTCTCTGTGGAGACCAAGGAACTGTTGGATTCCCGAGGTGGTGGGACAACCTCGAGGATAATTTCAGCAGGTTGTTTGTTTGAGGCACCCAGTCACTCAGGGCAGTGAGCTTGGTGCAGTGCGGAGGTCAGCAGCTTTGCCCTCAACCAGCTTGACTGGCCAAGAAAAGAGAAACAGGCGATGCAACACAAGCAGTTTTACACCAAATTGAAGGAATTTGTGTCTAAGAGATGGTCACAGGTGCAATTTGGGGGTCCCAGGAAGAAGATGAATCTGCTTTTTCACACTTGAAGTTGAGGCATGCACCAGATTTTACCCTAAATTACTACCTAATGATGAATGATCCATCTTTCCGGCTTCAGACGTCTAAATAAGGGTGTCTTCCGGGCTGATAGACATCTCAGTCTATTTTCCAACCCCCCCACTCCCGCCACCACTCGTGCGCCCCCAACACACTTGCTACTGCCCCAGGACCCTGACTCAGGAAGAGTATCAACACTACCCACCCCTACATCTGCTAGAGGTCCAAGCCAGAGACCTGTGGGAATCGTCCTTGTGACTTCCCTGCCTTTATGTCCCCACCTCCAGGCTATATTGATTGTAAATGCCGAATCTCTCAGACTCATCCACCTTCACTGTCCTTTCTCCAGGGTGGGTCACTCCCATCCACCAATTAGTTTACTGCAGTCAACTCTCAACTTATGCCCCTGCCTTTCTGATGCTCCACTGCCACAGCCAGGGAACATTTATGATAGCATTTATGTCACATTGTAAGGCTTGCTTATTTAACCCCTCACTGGCCTTGGGACAGGAGCCACACACTCCCTTTGCAGGGCTGCTGAGTGCAGGGTGATATTTCTGAACGGGTGCTCTTTTCACAGCCCATTTGTTCCAGTGTTGAACATTCGTCCTTATTATTTATTAATTATATGTGGGAGGGTGTGCACATGAATGTACTTGCCCTTGGAGTTCAAAGGAGGTTATCAGAACCCCTGGGACTAGGGTTACAGGTGATTGTGAGGGCTGGAAACAGTTCAGGTTCTTTGCCAAGCAATCCCCAGCCTCCGTCTACCCTTTGGGTTTCATTTTATTTGCAAACTGTGTTCCAACTCCTGGAGGCTGTAAGTGCTCATTCATCTGCTTGGAACACTTGCTCACTCTGCTTGTTCCTGCTTCCCCCAAGATCCCAGCTGGGACCCAGCCTCCCCTGGACATCCTTCCTTAGGCTCCAGTGTCCATCAGATGCCTGTCTTCTCAGCTCTTCACCATCTGCTTCTCCCTATGGTACCACAGACAAGCGTGTGTCCACGGCCTTTCTGCAATTGTTTCCTACGGCCTACAAAGATCATGCACAGTAAATACTTGTGGAGGGGGAAGGAGTTGAAGTATGTTTCATTGAATGTCCACATGACATATTTACTCTGTCAGTTGGTCTCTTAGTGTGCTGAAAGAGTAATGGCCTGAGAAATAGAAGTAACTATGAAGTAATACTATTACTGCAAGCTAATACTTGTTTTAAAACGTACTTTTAATAGACACATAGTAATTATACAAATGTGTGGGATATACTGTGGCATTTCAGTATCATGTATTTAATGTTTAATCAACAGATTAGGACAATTGGCATAGCCATTACCACAGACATTTATTATTTCTTTATGCTAGGATCATCCAAAATCCTGTAGCTGTTGAGGAATCTGTGGTTTTGCCAACCACAGCTATCCCACTGGGCTGAAGGACATTAGACTTTGTTCCTCCTTCACAGGGACTCTGTGTCCCCTTATCCTCTCCCTCCCCACACCATTTCCAGGCTCTGTTCACTTTTTGGCTTCCCCGTGTGAGTGAGAACACATGGGATTTTCTTTCTGAGCTTAGAACAAGTAATGTTTACTGAGTGCTCAGTGTGTGCCAGGCACTATTCTGGAACTTCAGTTTAGTTTTTAAGTAGCCATGGGAGCTAGGTTCTAGTTTCCTCTTGTGAAAATGGAGAATTGCAGGGCAGTTGAGGCATGCACCGGATTTTACACAGCTGGTAAGCCGTGGTATCAGCTCAAAGCCAAGGTGTTTGGTATAACATGGTTTGTCCCTGCATGGGACTGAAAGACCCCCCGAAGAGGTACTTTCGTAGAGGGAGACCCACACCCAGGAATCAGCGAGGCCACGAACTTGGATGCAAAAACAAGAGGCTTTATTGGAGACGCGGGTACCCGGGGCGCCTTAGCTTCTGTGTGGCTAAGCGCCCCGAGCCAAGGGAAAGGGGTCCTTATATAGGGAAAAAGGCGCAAGCTAGGAGCAGGGATTCTATTGGATAATTCTAATGAGGCATTGTACAGAGCTATTCCCATTGGTCAATGTATATGAGGCGCTATACAGGGTTATTCAAATGAGGCAAAGTACAGAGTTATTCAAATGAGGTGAAACATAGAGTCTTTCAAATGAGGCAAAATACAGAATTATTTCTATTGGATGGTTCAAATGAGACACAGAGCCATTCCAGATCAGCATATTCTCAAGGTCTGGTGTCTGGTGTCTGGTACAGCAGACTCAATTCCCCCCCC